TGTTCTCAGGCGGAAGATGTAAACAGCTTAATTTTCGTGTTAAACAATTTTTTTAAATTAAAATTCATTCTATACAGCAATCGCATATTTGGGTACCGTTTCATAAAACTTTCATAAAACAATCACACGTGTGGGGGAACTCCTGCAGCCCACCCACCTTCAAACCACTGGTTAATTTACATGTCGCAGGCTACAGGTACTATGCAGGAGATGGGTTCCTCACCCCCAGCACCACAAGCCAGCAAGCTTCCAAGACGCTGCAGAGGTCACAGAGATGTGGGTAGCCAAGGCCGACTAACTCCACCCTGTGTTTGCAGGTGCTTAGCCACTGGAAATCCTGGTCAAAGGCCCTGGCTTACACCCGCCTGGATCACAGAGCTCAACCTACACAGCACTTGTTCCAGTTGAGTCACTCAGCCTCCTAGTCCTTTAACCTCTGTACTGTGATACATTTGTTTCAGTGTTTTTCAATAACATATAGTTTTTTTTTTAAGAATACAGTGTTTTCACAGGTTTAAAATAATCTCATACATATACAGTAGTTTGCTTCCATAATGAGTCATTGCAAATTGAAACGAAGATCCTCAAACACAGAGGAAGTGTCTGGTTTTGCACACCAGTGATAGATCTGCAGTACGCGTCAGGTCCTGCATGACACCCAATGCCAAGCTGCCATAAAACTTCTTGCGCTGTTTCTACATTGTTCCTGGCATTTCGCGGCACATATATTGGGCGGTGCGTTGGCTCTGTGGCTAAGGATCTGCGCCAGTGGCTGGAAGGTTGCTGGTTCGTATCCCGCGGCCAGCAGAGGAATCCTACTCTGTTGGGCCCCTGAGCAATCCCAACTGCTCCAAGGCTGACCCAGCACTCTGACCCCAAGCTTCTCTCCCTGTCTGTGTGTCTGCGTGTCTCATGCAGAGCAAGTTGGGGTATGGGAAAAGACAAATTCCTAATACAAGTAATTATATATGGACAACAAAACATTCTTATCTTATATTTTCATGCCTTTTCTGTGCCTGTATTATATTAAAAATGATTAATTTCAGTGATGAAATAACATTTCCCTGTACACATCCTATAAATGTGTCTTTTGCAGATTAATGACACATTCACTGTAGCAGCAGGGTTCACTACAGGCTCACCATGTGTTTTAAGGCATTTGACAGCAGTCTCCTCCCGGGTGGCTTGTCAAAATCAGCAACAATCCAGATGGTCACTCCGTAAATATGAACATCTTCCTCTGGAAAAAAACAAAAAACATATATATTAATAACATTAATGACTTTGTTTTTAATTGCGATTAATTGGGGGAAAAAATGACAATATCATTAAAGGCATCTTGAAAATAAATCTACTTTTTTAACAGTACTGTAGAGGATGACGTTTTTGTTTCTGTCTGTTTATACTTAGCTGGAAAAAAAATGCAATTTGCACAAAAACGCTGAAACTAAGTTTTGTTTTAAAATAATTGCAAATGTTGAAGGATAGCCTGACTGGTAAAATGGAGATCAGGAATTGATCTGGTCTTAGTATTGAGTTCAGACTGTGCATTTCCGGAACATTCTAAGATGCTTTTGCAAGTAAGTCAATGCTGTCAAGTGTCTCCTAAAAATAAGAATTTGGAAAAATTAGGTCTTTTGTTTCTGAAAAGTCCCAAAGACTTGTCCTTTTTACTGTTTACATATACTTTTAGACCTTAAAAAGAATATAATTGAGTTTTAGCTTTTTTTAGTTTAGTTTTAGTAGCCTAAAATCATTTTGGAGAAACTATTTAACTCAAATATTTTTCCAGACTTTTCCAGTGTTTCCAATAATTTTTCAATGTGACAGCACACGCCTCCCAGTCATCTAATCCATATCCTTCTCCAGATCTCCACATCTTTGTCCATATCTTTATCAAAGTTTCATCCAGTTCATTGCCATATGATAAAAATCTGACCAGCTTCATCAACACCTGGCCCTATACTGCAGCCTGTCTCTTTAGACAAGTAATCTGTGGTCACAATTTTCCTAGGCTGGAAATTTATTAAAAACATTTCCTGGACATGGAACTCTGATTAAACTCTTAAAAACAACGGGCTACAAGGAAAAGTCCATGTGATTTCTTGAGTGATAAACCCCAAATAAAAATAGGTTTGTTATCGCTATTACTATAACACACATAACAGAAGGTTTGGATTGTTTTAGGGCACATTATAACAATTTCCTTACAACAACGTCAGTGTATTACAAAAATATCTGGTGGAAAAATTCACGATGAACTTCCAACACAGTCGATATAACTTCTCATGTAATGAATATTGGGTCTGATGTTGAAACCACATGGCCTGCAAAACTGAAATAACCTCCAATATATGCACTTTTTTTCTTTCAGACTGATCAGCAGGTGATAGCACCAGCAGCAAAAAAAAAAGCAATTAAATCTCACTAAAGTTATAGCTTCCAGAGAGACAGGACCCTGAAAGAAGTGCATTAAATCACAGGGATTCTGCAGGATGCCAAGGTTTGCTGCATAGATCTTGGATTGCACATTCTCCTCATTTCCACAAGCCAAATACCTCCACTGCTCAGTTGTCTGAATCAACACTATGGGCTCAGATTCCAAACAGAGGAGCTGGGAGCTTAGCCAAGGACGGAATTGCATGATTACCCAGTAAATCCACAGATATCAGATAAGCAGCGTTGGAAGACATTATGTTTTTGCTTTCACCTAAAAAGCCGACACCAGTTTTTTCTTTAATTGCCTCAAGATGCGCAAAAGCTGTAAGGGCATAACTCAGGCTGAAATACAAATAACAGTAAAAAGCTTAATTTTTAAATGAGTCCTTTGTTTGAGCTCTGTTGCTCAAGGTGCTGATCAAGTAGTGTCTACTCCAGTGTACACAGCATCGCGGGACTAGCTTTTATAAGAAGTGACTTTGGTGTAATACAAAATAACAAGGTTTCCTTCAGGGTGTTTGGTTTTGAAGCAGTCTTTGGAATTCTTTTAAAAAAGAGAAAATGTTTATTTCTTTACCATTCTTAGTTATGTACTTCATATTCTCTGAAATAACAGCACTCTTGTCTCTAGAGTCCAAGTATGAGAAAGTCACAGTGTCCTGCCAGTCCTGTACAGCTGAAAAAAAAAAAGAAAACAATCAGTGCTATCTTGATTTTATTCTAAATGTATAATACTGCACAGGACAAAATGTAGAAAAACCGTCCATACAATTTTCTTCAACATCTAAAGATCATTATACAATGTAAAACCACTTATTAATAACCAAATATTAATTACCAACCAATTAAAAAATTCAAAGCACCCAACCAGTTGCATACTTCAGTCCTATTTTGTTTAACAGACTGTATTGTTAAGCAGCAGAGTCTGAAATTCTGAAAGAATTTAGGGATTTACTGTATGGTACATACAACAGGTTCAGATTCTTTGCAACCTAGTAAATAGTCATCTATAATCTCTATAAGTAAAAAGCTAACTAAGCCCAAATATCAAGGAAGTATTTTTCGTGATGTTGATTTAATGAGTAATAAGGAATTTTCTTTATTTTAATAGCAGTATATTTATATCTTACTTTTAAACAATTCAAACTCTTGTAAAGTAACTGCTACTCTCACACTAGCACAGTTTCTGAGTCAAACCTCTTTTTAAATTGTTACCAATCAAACTACAACAGATTCAAAACTGAGCAGCCAGACTTTGCTTTTGTATTTCACTTGTGTCCCCAAGACCATAATATGAGCTGTGGGTAACAAGGCCTTCTTTTCCTAAATGCTCCTAAATTAGGAAATATCCTTCCCATTCAGACATGAAGCAACCTGTGGGTGCTTTTTCCTGTGATAACTTTTATTGTCTTCCACTGTTTCAGTAACAGCTGCTTGAGATTTGGCTTGTCATGAAAGTTGCTTTAGAAAATAAAGATGATGTGTTCAAACTATTTTCCCGATACAGCAGGGCAAACACAAATAAAGCAAATGCAGAGAAATAGAAGCCTTACCTGGCCTGGAGGTGAGGTCCAGGTAACTCCTTGCTGTACTCAGAATGAGTGGATTGATGCGCGGCACCACATTTGACTGATCCATGAGGAACTCCACCACATCGGCATCATCGCTCAGCTGGACCTGATACATCACGAGCCAGTGGATGTGATCGTGAACAATTCAGAATGCTTATAAGATCTACACACAATGAATGTCTTTGCTTATGAAGTAACCATAACACCTGGATACAGCGTTATCCACTTAAAAAATTCAATGTCATATCAATGTAATATCAGCCTTTTAGTTTCAAACCTGTTTAAGCTCATTCGAAGGGCAAAGCCTCAAAAAAGCTTGGAGCATGTGAAATTGATACTGGTCAATGCATGAGGCTGGTTTACAAAATGATTCAATAAACATAATCAGCCCCCTACAACTCCAAACAATATTTTTACTCTCTTCTTCCACGCTAAGCTAAGAGCATGAAAACAAACTATATTTTAATTTAAATGGAATGGACAATGGAATGGAGTTTTGTTACAGTTCACCTTTGTACTACATTAAAGGATAAGCAGACTAGAACCCCTGATCTGCCCACAAATCAAGCCTGTTGTCTTCTCGCGACAAGTGAGTTAGTGACATCTGATGTCACTGCAAGCTTGCAGGAGCTTACAAAATGAGTCACTGCTACTTCAAGAGCTGTGAGAGAGTACTGGTTCACTAATGCCAGCTCTATTCTTGGCAGTGCTCTGCCAGTTGAGCGCTGCTGCTTGGAATCGACAGTTGACTTGCGACACAACCCAGGATTGTAATCGCATCACCTAGGACAGTGAGCTTAATCTGCACTTAGAGCCAGGCCCTTACTGAGTTATCCACTAGAGAGCCCCAGGTCAGGAACAATATCCAGAAAGTCTGGCGCTAAGATTTAAGCTTTTTTTAAACAGACGCAAAATACTTTATGTACTGTAGTTGTATAGTACTAAAAGCACACAAACATCCAGTTAGTCTACACACAGCGCATACCATAAAGACTGCCCTTTGGAAGAAGGTTGTCGTGTCCATAATGCGCTGAAGAAGATTGGTCTCCAGATCGTCAGGGTCCATCTCTTCCCTTCTGAAAGGAATCCCATTAAAGAGGGCCTGCGGGAGGGCACTGAGCCCACTCTTCCTATAGAACACCCCTCCTGCCTGTCAGAAGGTATATTACAGTTAACAATCCGGGAAATGCAATCTCAGATCATGTACTTACGGCTTCTGTAGTTTCTCCTAATTTTTCTATTCACTTCCATCAATCCATTCAATGCATTTTACAGATATATTAAAACATGTTGTTAAATGTTAATGTTAAAAGTGATGTCCAGGAAAGATTTTTTTTTCTACGCAACAATTATACGGTCTTGTCCAACTTGCCTAAACTATACGTTTTCATTTTCAAGTAATTAGCCAAATGTGAAAACTGCATGCAAACAAGCACAGCATTTTAATCACCAAAAATGTAATTAAAATAAATATAATAATGGACAGTGTATATAGCAAAGTATGTGAATTACTAAACATTGTCCTTGCACATGTACAGTACTGTATTAGTTGCTAATTAAAATGTATCTTCTTTTTCATGCAACTTCATGAGCTACTAATACATGAAAGCTTAGTTTATTTTAAATGCTTTTATGAAAGTGTATTACTAAACTATGCATCCTTGATAAACAATGACAATATTCTAATTCTATAATGTATAATAAAACAGTAAATAATATTTCAGATACAGAATAAGCCTAGGATTAATTTCAATATATTCTTCTTTTTCCTATTGCACTTTGTAGGGCAAAGTGCAATAGAATTTCTTTTTCATTCAAATTCTTTCTTCAGATCAAGATTTGCTATTTGCATACAATTTAAAGCTTCATCTTCCCATTTATTTAACATGGTTGTAGAATTCTCAATAAAAAGATCATGAAATGAATTTCTTTGTTTGCTCAGAATTGAATTCTTAATGGCATTCTAAATGGTAACTGTTTTATTACTGTATTAATATAATGTAAACCACTTTACTCTGTGTGGATGAACATCTACATAAATAAACATAAAAAGTATTGAAAAAAGATTCTTGTAAATATCTTAACATGACATGTGATCAAACCTGTTGTTCCAAAAAATAGACAACTGATTACCCATTAAAAATATAAATGTAAAAAAATCTTCAAATTTAAAAATCTTCACAATGTTTACCAAAATTTACACGGCAAGAAGGAATAAAGCAAATTACACAATAAATAAAAGCATTTAGATTTTACTGTTCATTTGATACCACTGTTAATTTGCTATCTTTTTAGCTGAATTCCTAATCCAAACCTTCAATAGAAAAAAACATACATCAAAAAATAATATTTAAAATAATGTTTTCTTTCTTATTTTAATTGCGTGTGACCATGCATTTACTCTGTGTATAAACCCTCTCCAGAGTGTCACAAATGAGGCACTACATTTAATTACATTAATTCTACCATTAGAGAAAGGGGATACTTAAAGGGAAGACTTTCAGTAAAGCTCTTTTTTTCCTATGGTCATCTGTAGGATTTACCATTGTTCATGAAAAATTACCTTCCTTTTGTCATCATACACAGATTCGATTCCAAGAATCCCGGGAACATCTGCACTGGGAAATTTCTTCTTCAGGTATTCAACCACAATGTCTACAGTGAGATTTTCTCCACTGTCCACCTTATTGTATATCTGGAAATGTAACACATAAACACAGTGCTGATTCCAACACAGGTTTAAGCAACTTACCACTGGTTTACATTTACTCAAAAACATTCTGACAGCTTCCGTGTCACCCTTTGTAAAGCTAAAAATGTAAATATCTTCTTCCCGACTCTCCCATTCTTAAAAGTCTTAAAAGTGAAACAACGGTGAGGTTTGGGGCACAATGAGCATCACATCAGCATCATCATAGTAACAAGTATTAGAACTGTCTTAATATATTTAACATAAAAAAAATATTCAGAATTTCAGAATGCCAAACCTTCAGAACTTACATTTCTAATAAATAATTTCAATTGAGACTAAATTGATAGCACTGTATGTATTTTTTAAACATTTCCACAGACATACTTACAGAAACCATGGACATGAATGCCTGGGAAAAGTCATACTTTTCCACTATGTAGTTCAAGACTCTGAAGAGAGCAACTCCTGCATCTAGGTACCCATCCACTTTGTCATCCGTGTTGACAACAAATACGAACCCAATCCTTAGATGACAAAAAATACATGTGATTTTTTTGGGGGTTGTACCCTATCTGAGGAAAAATAAAACAGCTAAATCTACACAAATATGTTGTTAGAGCTTACGGTTTCTAAAACATATCAGATCTACCAAACGGCTAAGAAAACCCAAGCTCATCTATAACACCATCACAGACAACAGCGCTACTATTGTGACTCGGAAAATGATTTTTTTAAAATAAAAAGCCCTATAAACGTTTAGAAATCACAAATTCTCACAGGATAAGAAAAACTACTGTATACCCACATACTATTTATATTATCAGAAAAAAACATTTTTCTTGTATTTTGCTATGCTGTACAAAAGGTAGAAAACATTATTCTTCAAGCAAATCTTAAACTGCAAGTTAATTTAAGCAATTACAAAAAAATATAGTTAGAGAACATTTGCCTGACAGCTGATATGTAGCTGTGATTGACACTAATTCCTAGATCAATGTCATCCTCTAAAAAATAAAATCCACACATTCCTTAAATTTAATTAATCATGAGACAAAATGGCAGCCTTTTAACATCTGGCAGCGTTTTAAGATGCCAATGTTTACTGAAAGACAAAAATATTCCAAGAAATGGGAACCACGGCCATCTGAAATCTCCAAAAAATATACAGTACATTAATAACGACAAAACTGACTGTTGCATCTTGTATGACAGAAATTCAGATGAAACATTAGGCAAATATTAAAGAGCTTAAACAAAAAAAAAACTTTGCAGTCACAGTTCAATATCATTAGAAAGAAATTAAACTCTGATAACAGACAAAGCCCCAGAGTAATTTTGATAGCAATTATTGATACTATAATGGTGATAGCATACCTGAGAGGGATCTTGTGCTGGTAGAAGAGTTCTGCCAGTTTTACCAGCTCAACAGTGTCTTCCTGTGAAGGATCGATAAACAGCACCTGAGGACGAGAACATAACAGTGAGAAATAAACTATAACAAACTAAGCGATTTTGTGACTGCAAGCAGTGTTCACCAAGTGGCTTTGGAAGATGTTTTAGTGAAGATAAGTGGACTCTGTGGATAAGTGGGGAAAAGCTGGGTTCAGTTTAATAAAGACCATACATAAAACAAAATATATTCTACGACACCTCCACTGGCTGCCACCCGCCTTCATCTGCAATGTGCTTGTTCAAATATACCTTGCTCCGAGATCAATCAAAATTTCAATTTACCCACCAGCTGCAGATCATAATTGCAGCACCTGATCAGAGATTTTCGGTGAGTAAAAGAAATGGTCCTTCTATAAACAGAAAGCTGGGTTCCTAATTTTTGACATTCACAATATTACAATAAGGCCAAAGCAAGGAATGTATTAATGGAGAAACAGGTTCTTTGATTTTGGGTTGGTCAGTTACAATGCAATATTTCAAAATAAATTATATACACTGTCCCGTTATCATTTTTAGAATAAAGAATGCAGTCTATTACTAGATTTTCAAAGAGGGCAATTCTTAGTTTTGTTTACTTCCTACATGGATGTTTGAAAACTCATCCATGTAGGAATGGATACTTGGGACTTTTTATGTCCCACCCTGTTTACGCACTCCAGCAAAATGTTCCCCAATGTTGACAAACATCTTATAATACCTTACAGATAATCATTCCATAATGCTGCTTATGGAATGTAAAAGATTTATACTATTGTGAGGTGAGTTTTGGTTGTGTAAGTGATAAGGTTTAAATTACAAATGAATAAGATTGAATCAATCTCTAAACATCTGTTCTGCTATTCTTGAATGACTTAGGCCACATTCATGCATCTTTCTAACAAAGTTAAGGAATCTGTGTTAATTACAACCAGAAGCACAGACTAACAATTAGCACCAGAGGTCATAACAAAAACACTATGTTTCACTAATGTGGTAAATTCAGTAAATTAATTTATGGCTCATATGGAGTGATAATGTAGTCCCAGTTCTACTAAGATAATATCAGCTTCCTGTATGCTGCTGTACACCCTATGAGATTAAACTTGGTACCATCTACTTAGGGCTTAAATAGACTTCTGCTGTATCAGGTATCACACCCAGCGCAGACACTCACAAATAACTAAAAACAGAATTGATTAAATGTATATTTGAATATCTGGTGTACAGTACAAATATGTATTGGAACTAGAGTTTAAACTGCCTCAATTGCTTGAACCACCATGATTATTATAGTTGTCTAGGTGATCTAACTCACTGTCTCCCATAACAACAACTTGTTTTCTGTGATAGAGCGCAAGGAACGATAATAAGAGATGCGAATTAGAACCTGTGCATTAAAAACAATAAGAGGTATGATTAGAACTCACCAAATTGAAAAAGTTGCGTCGTATCTGGCGTATGACACCTGGGAAGGTTGCCCTGAGGAGTTCTTGACAGCTTGAAGGCCAGGTTCGGTATATGTGGTCTTTTTCAATATCATTTACCCACTATATGTATTAAAAAAACAGTAACAGTTTTTCAAATATAAAAAACATATGAGTGGAGTCGGAAACAAGATCATTTGCCATGATTTCAAACTGCAGTATGAAATGCACACACAATCTTGTGTGCACTGTAAACTAGTGAAAACTTTTGCTTAATCCAGTGCTTTAAAACCTTTGTTCTCTAGCAGACAAATAACTACTAACATTAAAATGAAATAAAGAAATAAAATTCAATCGAGCCAAGGATATTCCACAATAATACCTTTTTTAAGGTATTACTGCATGATTTACTGCTAACCCACACAACAGTTTTAATCCCATCAGATTTACAAGATATGTATGGATGCAAAAATCCTATGTCCCATTTTGTAGAATTACAAATGAGATATACAGTACATACAGTATTTGTGTACCATTCATTTCTTCTTTGCAATTTTTTATGCAGATATTTCATTTCTTTCATCTATGAACATTCAAGTTTTGATTAAAATATTCACTTTAAAAAATGTTTATACTATACACTGCTTTTAATTCAACAAAATGGGACATTATAGGAATTGTTTTTTTCATAGAACAGTGTATGCCTTTACTGTCCCACTTTATCTGCATGTTTTAGTTATTTTATTACCTTTTAATGTTCCCTCTCACCCATGGAATCAATCTTTGAGAGACCTACTGCCCATCCAAATTCCACCCAAAATGTTTTTTTTTACCAGTGATTAGTTTTATTAGTTATTAATTCTGAACAAGGAAACTGACAGAAAGTAGTTTTTTTAGTGGTTTGTTAATTAATCATTTATTGACTTATTTATTGGCAGTATATGATCTATAGTATATGTTTTATATGGATCATGGATAATTGTCAATTAAGAATTTATTAAACAGGGTAACAGAGTAAAGTCACAGATAAAAAAAAGACTACATTGCCGAGGACCAGATCCTGCAGTTAGACATCATTAAAGGTAAAATGTGCAGTAGGCCATAAACATAGCTTACAAATAGT